TAAATAAATAAATAAATACTACTATTTCAGAAGAACTGTGAGTTTCTATTTCTCTGTCAATATTTAGTCAGAGAAAGTCTGAAGCAAATCACATGAACACAGAAAGTGTTTCACAGCTGACATTGGTCACTTTCATAGCACTCTTCTTCATGGGAGCCAGATATTCATGACAAAAGCTGCAAAATCTTGTTCCCAAAAGTTTTTAAAAATAATTAAATTAAATCTCTGGCAATTGTAATCAGAAATTGGTATTTCTTTGCAGTGGCACCATCTCTATGGAATGCTCTCCCAAAGGAGATACAACAGATGCCCTCCCTTCATATATTTTAAAGTTCCTAAAACAGATCTATTCAGAGGTGCCTTTGGGGAGAATCTCTCCAAATAGCTGGTATATTGGAGGAAGGAAGAGAAGAATGTTGCCATATTATAGTGTGTTCCAGAAATTATTCTGCAGCCTGTCTTGGGTTATGATTTCTGTATGTTGTATATTGTAATATTCTTGTTGTAAGCCGCCTAAAGTGGTCTTAATTGACTAGATAGGCGGGATATAAATAAAATAAATAAATAAATAAATATGTTATTTAACGCGCATTTAATTTGTTGTACACTGCTGAGAGTGGTGACTGGCTAGATGGATGGTACAGAAAGCAAGCAAGTAAGAAAGCATGCAAGGAACACTCCCTGAGGTAGAGTTCCATGATGGTAGTAAAAGTGATTCCACAATAAAAAAAGACAAAAAAGTAAAGTTGTTCGGAGTCTACCCTGTCAGGTGAAGCAACTAAGGAAGGGTTGCTCGAAAGAATAGAGTGTTGAGGACTGGGAGGAGAAGATGTTATTTGATCGACTCTGTCATCCCCTTCAGGTGATTGGGAGCAGGGTTGATGAGAGGAGATTCCATCATCATCAGAAGGCGAACCAATATTGATTGATTTGGCAGTTTGTTGAAGCTGCTGAGAAATGACTGCAGCTTTAGATTTATGCTGTTTAGGTCTTTTAGGTGGAGAAGGCTCCATAACCAAAGAGGCTTTGGTGGACATGTGACGTTTAGTGAAGGGCTTTGATATCGAGGATTTTGGTATTGAGCGCTTCGATTTAAGGGTTTCTGAAGTTTTAGACGAAGTGGACGGAGCGTCGGAGTGGGATGGCGTGGTTGATGAATGTCGTTTTGAGGCTTCAGAAAGAGCCTTCTCCATTGTTTTGGTTTCTGAGGTGGCCTTACAAAGAGGTTGTGCCATTTTGGTTGGTTGAAGGGATTGTTCCCAAAGATGGAGTTTTACTCTGGATAAGCGAGAATGGAGGATTCCGCTCTTGAAGTTCCTACAATGCTGGCAGGAGGACATCTGGTGTGCCTCTCCCAAGCAAAAAAGACACTTGGAGTGGCCATCGGAGAGTGGTATTTTGTTATCACAGACCACACAGTGTTTAAATGGGCCCAAAGGGGCCATGAATAGGAGAAAATAATTTAAGGAGAAAAAAGATGATTGAGGCGGGGTGGTGGAGGTGCGGCTGGAGGCCGAGTGAAGTAGAAGAGAAAAAAATCTCTGATGATAATGAATTTGATCTAAAAGTTTAAAGGAAAAAAAGACTGGTAACAGGAAGGAATCAAGAATAACTCTCTTTCTCTTTTACTCACAGAAGCAGAACTATGAGGCGCTCAATGCGGTGGTTGAAAGAAACTGAAAGGGGAGACTTGGCGCCAAGGTACTTATATGAGGGGGGAGGGGTCTTATTCTAATGTGTTTTTTGCTACCGCAGAAGCTCTAGAACTTTCTGGTGAGGCTCCGCACAGGTGTGGATCACCCAGGGTGTGATTCACAGCAGCCACAAAGAAGAACTCATCTGGAAAGGCCTCAGGACTTGAGTGGAAAAAAAGAGGGGGGGATTCAAAGAGACAACTGAAATCAGATTTTAAAAAATTCAAGGCACTTTTGAACAATAACCTCAGCTCTATTTTCAGTGCATGGAGGCTGTGAGTGAAGTAGGGGCAGGAAGAAAGGTTTGTGTTACTCATCATCAGTGACAGAGGAAAGAGTGCATAATACATGATTGTGGCAGATACTCTGCCGCAGAACAATTTGGAAGAGATTGCTTTCTTATACAAAATCAGTAAGAAAAAGCCCTGCTAAAGGAAAAAGAAAAGAAAGCCCTAAAACATTCCAAAAAGGGAGCAGTAAATCTTTTTCAAAGCTCCACTAGATGAAGCGACATAGAATGCACACCTGCAAAAACTGTCAAAGTCATTTAGGATAATTTTCCTTTACTGATGGCCCCTGCTGTTTGCAGTTATTTAAGCTTTTAATTTCTGTCATTTTTGCATTTTCAAATACTGTATGCATTTTTCTCTGCCATTTTTGGACAAGGGGGAGGGGGAAGCAGACTTCTATTTCCTTCATGATCAGTATTCTAATAATAACCAGATCTCTTTTTATTTGCTAAAGTAAGAGGAAAAATACATTATTTGTTTTAAGCTCCAATAAAGTTTATAGAACATTTAACTGGGAAGGTACATGAGCAAAGTACCAAACTTACAATTCCAATATGTAGGTACAACATTTCTGTAAAACTTATGTAATATCAGTGTGTGGGTATGCTTCATCTGTATCTTTATTTATCTGCAGGGAAAACAGCATTTGGCTTGTTCAGTTTTCCCCAGTATGGCATTTCCTCATTCTTTTGAAACCAACACAAATGATAGGTAATCTTTTGACTACTGAGTGTTTCAACAGCAAAGGCAAGCAGAGAGCTGGCCTTGCAGTGGGGAAACTATATGGATGCCCTGTGGAACGTCTTCCCCCCAGAAGTCTATTATGCCCTGATTTCCGGAAGAGCTGCAAGACATTCTTCTTTGGGCTGGCAGAACCTAGGTGCTCATTTATTAAAATGTGGGAGAAATATGATCACTAACCCATAGCCATTTGGGACATCAGAGTAAAAATGGAAAAAAACTAGATGTTATAAAAGAAAAGTAAACTAAGCCAGTCGGCCAACCAACCAGCCAACCAACCAGAAGAGTTTTAAAG